CCACACATTATACGGTTGTTAATATAATAAGACTCCAGGGTGTGTTATGAATTCTGGAATAGGGTGCTTTCTCTATAATAGAAGCCTAAGCAATAGGCCATGATGTTCCACCTCTTTTAATAATTGTGCATGGGGGGTATCTAGAATCCCACCACAATTGGGGACTTCAAGACATCACACTGGGGAGATCTGAGTACACTCACAAGACTACGCCGCAGATCATCCGTACGTTTCATAGAATTATGCCTCTAAGTGGACAGTACCTGGCAGATATCAGTATATATCAACCATTAATACATTGATATAACAGTACTACGAGAATTTCCGCATTCGTCATCATGGGAAATGGGGACACATCAATACTTCCTTGTCATCTGCCCTTGTAGAATATGCATGCATTTCATAGAATATTACCCTACGAATAATGACACACCTCCAATATCAGTATTCTTGACACAATAATACGGTTAACATTATAGTAGCCATGGTATAGCTCTACTGTTTAGACAAAATGATTGGAGGCCAACTGTGGGATTTGCAGAATCGCCCAAGTCATATCATCCAGCCATTAAACCAACATGAGGACCCTTCAAATAATGTTATTCCAAAGACAGCTGTACTCATCAGGACAAACTACTCTGTACATAACATCAGTGTTCTTCAAGTAATCGTGCAATTCACACATTCATTTGTTTCACAGAAGTGTGCCTCCCATACGGAGGTACTACGGCAATTTCCACACGTTGCGTAACGCTTTGCCCGTCTCATACGGCACAAAGGTAAGTCATGAATTATATTCCCCTCTTTACTTTACTTAATAATACCGGCTTAACTTTGGCACTCATCAAATGGCATCGTACAAGCCATATCAGGCATCTTTAGATATGAGTACTATACATACATCTATAGTGTCCCCATAACAGTACTCCAAGTCATGAATACTCCTTCAGCGAATATCCTCTTCAAATGGAAGTATTATCCACACGAGAGGGTTGTAAACAGAACGATACTCCTTTCACACCATTACTCTCCCATAAAATCGTACCCCAAATGTTATCTTACTCATAAAGGCAGGAAACACCCCACATCATGGTTCCGTTAGTATAGTAGCACTCCAGCTGATCCATATAGCTCCACTAGTAATACTTTCATAGAACAGTACTATGGGGACTTCTGGACTCGTCACCCTTGAGTATCTACAGGCATCAGTAGCTTCTAGACAATAATTATACTGGAATATGTATGGACTTCACAGGAAATTGCTATTCATATAATGAAACCATAAGCTCGGAATCTTTCACATCCACTACTACATGGACGACAGTACTCCTCACATAATAGTAGTACACGTATAACCCCGCGCATCACTACCAACGAAAATCAACACCAGGATTGTACAAATAATGGTACTCCAAGTGCACTTCTCTTCTTCATATACCAATACAATAATGGTGTTACTACTCTCGACATATAAGTATTACAAACACTTGGGTACGTTTCATATACAGTAACACTGAAGGATATCCTTACCCTTTACGCAGATGTGCTCCTCAAATGAGGGCACTATAGGCGCAATGGAACCCTTCAGATAACACTCCTCTAGAATATCATTACATTTCACATAGTACCGCATTCAGCATGTCAGTGGACTCAACAGAATGGCACTCTCCATATATTCATTTTTCTTAGATGATATCA